AAAAAAAAAAAGAAAAGAAAGAGAGAGAGAGATTGTAATATAATCGACGATAATAGTCAGGTCAGATTAAAAAAAAAAAAATTACGTCTGTGATTAAAAACTCATTGGAAAACATTCGAATTCACTAGCCGACATCGTTCGTATCGTTCACCACGGATATAGATTAAGTTTTTAAAAGACGCTTATGCAATGCAGAATAATAACAAACTCGATACACGAAGCTAAAGTTGGCTACCGCCGAACGTGCTCTAAAAATACACGTGGAATCTTGGCCTAAGCCGAAAGGTACAGTTCAATTATTTTCAACCGTGTGCTCGGTCATTCTGTAGCTCGCAATGGGGAATTGATGAAATTCGTAAACGTAATTTATTGCTTTGTACAGGCAGGAGACTTTTTCATTGATATACGTTTTATATTGAGAAGCTCAGAGTAGAAAGGGACGCAGAGCGTAGCAAAAATAAAGAGACGCGAGAATTTGAAGAATTTGAAGAGATGTCGATCTCAAATTCAAAATTCAGCTTACAAATTTACGATTTAGAGATGTGAGAATGGAAACTAGCGAGTCAGTGATATTAAATAACATGAGTTTCAGAATTAAAAACACTCGACGAAATTACGATTAACTATCTCTTTCTGTTGGAAATTATAATAATTAGTATATATGGTGAAAATTAGGATTACTTTCTCTTTTAAGTTACTTTTCTATAAATTTATAATATTTTTACTGAGCCTTCGATCGCCAATATACATATTTCTATAAACTATATTTCCTTAAAATTTTCAGACGGTCTAAAGGAAAGAAAAGAAAAGAATGAAAGATAATTGCACCGCGAAGAAAACATTGCAGATATCGTAATATTCATGGAATCGTAAAGTACCTCGTTCTATCTACAACCTACGTGATAAACTTCAGGTTTAAAGTAACCTCAGATTGCCAGAGAGAGGTCACACCTATCGATAAAATAATTCTCGAATTTGCTCTGCTCGTAAAAATAAATTTCGCGTCAAGTGTTGCGTCATTTTTACTCAATAATTGCCTTAGAAACTTCTCATAATAAATAATCACGCAACAACTGAATTCGATAAGTACACGTATATTCGTCAAGTTATATTATCGTTTCCCTGAAACATGTATCATACAGAATTTCGTTGGCTTATTCAAGATTTATTGAATTCAAATCAATAATCGCCACCATTCCTCTGTAATATGAGTAATAAGAATTTTCGGAATCAATCGTTTCTTTTGCTCCAATTGTTACTGTCTAAAATGTACAAATCGAATAACAACGACAATTTATCACATCCAATTTGCATTTTTGGTCATACATAAAATAATTGTAAATAATCGTAAATTA